GTTTTATTAAGGAGTAAAATTAATTAGGAAAACAAGTAAGTTCGTAGTTTTTGCATGACTTGCATGCAAAAACTACGAAATTACCAATTATCGCACACTGTTGTGCGATTGTCGATTGTTTCGCAGCCAATCCAACTGTTTAGTTGCATAACTAAATATCGAGTAGTGTGCGTCGATCTTCATACATACTCCAGATTTTTTTAGGGTTCAGTGTAAAGAAATTATTTCAATACATTTCTGTCAGCTCATATTTGTTAGAATATCTAGCATTTTTCATGTTCTGTATAAATAAAAATAAATGTACGTTGGCGTCACTAAATAACTTTCGGTTACATTTAGGCCGAAATCGAAACTAAGGCAGAAACTGGGATTTTGTCCAAAACCGTGCCGATACCGAATCGGTCATTAACTGTTGCTCGCGAATCCGTCCTCGTTAATTAAAAAAATAATAAAAGACCATAGCCAATGTTACTCTGTGAAAACGTGGGGTTTTTAATAGTGAATTGTTGAAATCGGCCAGTAGTTTTTACGTAAATCAAGTACATACAAAAATACAAATTTTTCCTCTTTATAATAATAGCATAGATAAGTTTATGGCCTTATAAAGGTAGAATTATTTACAGTTTTGTTATAATTTCTCACTAACATTGAATTTGACTGTACATATCAAATATCGTACAAGTCTAGATTGAGAATGTATTGTATCTCCTAGTTATGCAGATGTGCGCTGTCTGTCTAGACTTCATATTGATTTTCCTACGGACGATGCTTAATGGGGAAGCGTAGGGTGCGGTTTGAAGGACTTATTTCCTTTTTATATACCACTAGCTGTTCCAATGCGACTGCATTCGCATGAAATTATAAAAAAAAACTTTATTTTATTGTTTACATTTGTCAAATTCTCAATTGCTAATGTCAAAATTCAAATGCACTAATAACAACTATGGCAGTCTTGCTTCTTTGATGTTGGCAGCTTGTATTTTATGGTATACCTTTTTCTTTTTTTTTATATGTAACATAAGGTGGCAAACGAGCAAGCGGCCACCTGAATCCGCCAAAATGGCGAAGCGACCGCTGCCCATAGACATCCGCAATTGCAGATACGTGCCTACACTTATCCGACAGTGGAGACGCATATAGAGAGAATATCTCCCCTTCCTATGTATCTCCTCCGTCAAATCCACTTCCCCTTCCTATCCTCTCCTTAAAATAAAAGGCTGGTAAAGTGAAAGAGACTTAAATTAGGCCTCTACCTGCTGGTATACCCTTCAACATTCTTGAAGCTATCTTATTTACTTAATTATATACATATGTACATAGTTAAGTTGCATTAACATCTAAGTATTAATTTATTACTAAATACATTTCAATTAAATTGTATTTGAGATTCACGTTGCGTCGATAAATTACGGCTAATCGAATTGATCGTGCTGCCATATTTGAAAGTTTAATTGCGGAATAATAACGGATATAACGGACAGTCGGTACAATGCACCAGTGATATCTCAGCTTAGCCTGTTCCAGAGTTTGTCAATGCTATCTATGAGTTGTAAAAAGTTTTCCGTAAACCGTATTACGTTTACTTTAGTTATTACTAGCTGTTGCTACTTCGTCTGTGAGAAATTAAAAAAATATAAAAATTTAGGTTGTTACTAGCTTGTAATGTAGATTTTTAACTTCTTGAAATTGGCCTAGTAGTTTTAAGTTATTTCAATACATATGATTTTTTTTTTCTTGGACCTCTTAGGTAGTAAACATTATGCAATATGTCTTTATTTTCAACTAGCTGTTCCCGTGCGACTTCATTCGCATGAAATTATGAAAATTGTTTTATTGATTACATTGTGTCAAATTCAATTGCAAACGTCAAAATGACATGACATGATGACAAAGTATGGCAATTTTGCTTCCTTTTGGCAGTAACTTATGGTCTCTGTCCCACATTAGGGTTTTCATCCAAAATATTTACCTCCTAAGTTTAATGGCGTAAATATATAGCCAAAAGTGTGACGAAGTGTAGGGCTTTTTATTAAAAAGAGAGTAATTCAAAAATATGGTGTAATTGCTGACATCTTAGGCAACAAAGAAGTGTGTGTTTACGCTTTAGTATAATAGTATAGATTGACTTAAATATACTGAACCCAGACGAGAATATCGTTTCGCGCTTATATTCGAATGCAAAAACTTCTATATTCATTCTCTGTTATTCGGTCGCCTGTCACCACAAATATCGATCTAGTTTTTTCTATACTATTTACTTTATAAAGTTACTTTCACATTTTTAAAAATAAGTAAATGAATCGATGAAAGTAATATCTGAAATGTCAGTGGTTTTATAAAAAGAGAATAATTTCAAACTCTTATAAATAATTAATATTTTTTTTTTATAACGTAAGGTGGCAAACGAGCAAGCGGCCACCTATAACCGCCAAAATGGCGAAGCGACCGCTGCCCAGAGACATCCGC